CCCGCCTTCCCCCCTCGCTCCCCCCTCCTCCGGGCCTGGCGCGCCTTCTGCGCCCACCACTACGTCGTCCTTCTCCTCGTCGTCCCTGTCCTTGTGGAGCGTGCATTCCACCGGCCCATGCTTATGGCCCTCCACCTGGCCATTTCCTGCGTCTTCCTCCTCACCACCGCGGGGCTCTTGCTCGCACACGCTGTCGCCTACGCGGTGCTTGGCTGCATGGCGTACCTCCTACACCTCCTCCTCGCCCACCTCGACCTGGACGGGTCGCCCGCGGTGTGGAGAGAGAATGGTGTCCTAGCCCACACCTGCGCCCTCATTCTGGGACTCTGCCTCGTCTACTTCTTGGCCCGCTCCCGGGAAATGATTCTTCGCGAGCACTTCAAGGTCCAGTTCCTGGGAGCCTACCTCTTCCAGCGCGGCCGCCTCGAACAAGCCCTGGCCGACCGCCTCCTCCTCGCCACACTGCCCATGGCCGTGGCCCACCACGCCCTGGACCCGCGCGACCTGCCGCCGCCCTCCACGTTTCCCACCCTCGCTCCTTCCCTCTATTTCTCCAGAACGAGCGCGGCCTCCTACGCCAGGTCCTCCGCCTCCTTGGCACGCGCCATAACTCCTCCCCCCTCGTCCCACCACCCCGTCCCTGCCGCTCCATCCCCCGGGAACCCCCCAGGCGTCGGCCCGCCCGCCATGAGCGCGAGTGGGACGGCCCCCTTCGCCCTCCACGCAAACACGTTGGGTAGAAGGGGCAGTGAGGGCATGGTTCCCTCTGCTCCTCCGCCCGCGGTGCCTTCCACCGATGGAAATCCCGGAGCCGGGGGCGTGGGAGCTGGGGCATCCTGCGCGGCGACATCCACGACCGTTGCCGGCTCGGAACGGGCCTCGGGTGGGACCTCGACCCCCTTGCCCGCCCTTGCCTCCTGCTCGGCCCCCTCTACCAGCGTCCCGGTAGGGAGGACCACGAGCGCCGCGAGCAGTCTACCGGCACCGCATGGGGAGGAGGACAGGGACGGGCGTGTCCCGGAGGAGTCGGTGTGGGTGTACCCCTCGCCCCGCCTTGTCCGTGACGCGCTCGCCCGCTACAAAGGCCGCCTCCCGCCGTCCGTGCACCCGTTCCAGATTCCCCCTGCGAGCCGCTTCGTTCAACGGAAATTTTGCACGGTCCTAGTCGCAAAAGCCGTCCAGGCAGGCGGTTCCCACCTGTTGGTTCCTCCCCTGCGCCTAAGCCGCGCCCTGTCGGAGTTTGATTTGGTCGTGGGCCACCACAAGGTGACCAAGGTGTGCAATACGGGAAGCAGCTACACGGCCTCCTGCGGGCTGTTCGAAAGCTGGGGCTCTGCGCGTAGGGATGCCTTGGCCGCGGTGGCGGCGGCCAGTGATCTAGTGGCGATTGCAGAGGCGCTGGGGCTGGATTTGTGCGTGGGCGTGGCGTCGGGATCGGTAGTAGGGGTGTTAGACCCTTTGTCGCACTCCTTTTATGACCTGGTGGGAGACGTTGTCAGTTCAGCCACGCTAATGGCGGATTTGGGCATGAGCGGGCAGGTCTTTGTCGGGGATTCCACCCACCAGCTGCTGGACCACAAGGAGTGGAGCTTCCGTCTGCCCCGCGTGGGCACGCACAACGTCTCGGTGCGCCTCCTGAACGGACACGAGGAGACCCTGAAAGCCCTCTCGAACCCTTATGCCACTTCTTGGTGGTTCGAGCATCGGCAGCAAATCGTGCTGGACGAGCTTGCTGCAGAAGATGGGGTACGGGACGCGAGTGCGCACGGTCCCAGTCCTGAGATTCTGGGTCTGAAGTCATCCTCCGTCACAGCTGTCTCCCAAGAGGCGTGGGAGCGCGGTTTGGAGGAAGGGTCTCTGTCTGGTCGTACTGGTGGCGGCTCCCCGCAGGCATGCAAGCGCGGTCGCGAGCAGCCTGATGGGAAAAACCCACGCCCGTTCACCATTGCCAGCGTCTATGAACTTCGAGAGGAGCTGGAGGCAAGTGGAAGTGGAGAAAGGCGGGAGGGCAAAGGACACCAGTCTCTATCCGTGCAACCCTGGCCGGTCACCTTGGAGACTCTCGACCGAAGTGTCTCGGATGGTACGTCTGGCCGGCAGACACGTGCTGAGGTGCTAGAAGAGGAGGCGGAATTTCGCGCGTTCGTCCTTGGACAGCGCCTAGAGTTGGAGGTACTGCTGTTGGCGCTCTGCACAACTACTTTTCTCTGGACCACGAACCTATACAGCTGGACTCTAGGGCCGTTTCTTGTCTTGCTCGTCGTTCAGTGTGCGCTCCGCTGGCAACACTCGGACAATAGCCGGCTGGCATCCCTTCTCGTGGGCCTGTATGGGTGCGCTGTAGGAGCACTGCTTCTGGGCATGGCGTTTGTGAACCACGACGTCTTCGCGCTCTCCGTCCTTCGGGGAGTTTTCCTCCTTAGTCCTATTGTGTACATCCCCGCCCGCAAGGCCTCCGCACTGGCAGGGGCCATTTTTGCCTTTCTTCTGCTTAATCATATCATCATCTTGATCGCATCCTCTTCGCCCAGACCAGACGAGCTTCATTACGTGCTAGGCCGGTACTGCTGGTACGGGGCCCTTGTTGCCGTCCTGCTGACATACCATCGTCAAACAGAGCATCTGGGTATGACTTTGCCCAGTCAGGTCTATCCTTACGTGCAGGAGCTGCAGGCCTTTGCAAGCGTGCTCTTGGCGAGGACCGATGCGGTGGTGGCTAAGTTGGTGCCATCGAATGTAGACGTGCGTCGCCTTTTGCTCCACGCGCAGCAACAGCGCTTAGGAGGCCACCTGGCACTTCGGACACAAGCTGTGATCGTGCACATTGACTTTCGAGCTTTGAGCAAGTTGGACGGATTGGTCTCACCCTTGCAGCTCTGTGCCTTCCAGAACCGCCTGTTGGGGATGTTGGATGGGGCAGTGCGTCTCTTCTCTGCCTCACACCTGTGGCACTCCGGACACGTTTTCGTGGTGGCTTGCGGCCTCGATCCCGCACTCAGCCAATCCTTACCTTCCAGTGCCGCAGGAAGTGGCGACCGTCCGCCAGCGTCCACCTTTGATGGCAACGGTCATGACCCAGTGCTACAGGCTCTTGGGCTGTCTCGTTTTATCAAAATTAAAATACATGAGTTCAACTTAAAGAACCACGTCTCCCTTTCCGTACGCGTGGGGATCGCTCGGGGGACCATCACGTTGAACTCCGCCAGCACAGAACGCTTCGATGCCACCGGCAGCCCCATATTGATAGCTAAAGTCCTGGCTCTGCGCACCCTAGCGACCATGGTGACGGCAGATATAGCTCTCCATGTCCAGCGACATGCTCCTCCGGAGAAGCTCAAGACCATCACGTTTCACCCGGTCACGGAGGGGCAGATACCCTTGCTGCACGGGAACACTGTGGAGGCCGTGGAGGTGACGCTGGAATCTCAGCTTCCTGACCACTTAACTGTCGGCCCTCGGTTGGAGGACTTCGAAATATTGGGACTTCTTGGTTCAGGAGGCTATGGGTCTGTGCACCTGGCTAGGGAGGGCCACAGCGGAGGTTTGGTGGCGATGAAGGTTATGTTTAAGCGTCGCCGGGGCGTCTCAGACTTGATGCGTGTGGAATTGAATGTCTTGGCTCAAGTGCAGCACCCGCACGTGGTGCAGTTCCACTACTGCTTGCAAACCAAGAGCCGGATTATTCTGGTCATGGAATACATCCGCGGCGGCACCCTCAAGGCCTTGCTCAAGGAGCCCTTATCATTACGGCCTCCTCCCCGAGTCTTGCGTCGCTGGGCTGCAGAGTTGGTGCTCGCCTTAGGATACTTGCATTCTTTGCACGTAATCCATCGGGACATCAAACCGGACAATTGTATGGTGGGTGAGGACGGGCACCTCAAGTTGATGGATTTCGGGCTAGCAAAGGTCCTTCAGCGGGGGACAGAGGCAACGACATTCGGGCTCGGAGCGGACCCTGCAGGCGGTATTAAATCGGAAGGCGTCGGAGGAGAAGTCGCAGAGGGAATGATTGCAGGCGCCAGTAGTGGTGGAACTTCCGGTGCTGCCTCGACGACAGGGCTGGTTGCGGCCTCGGACAGTCTGCAGCAAGTGGCGGCGGCGAACGCAGCGTGGAGCGATAATAGTGGCTACACGGATATCATGCCATTGATGCAGCGACTCATGCCCCAGCGCTCGTACCAGGCCTCTGCCTCCTTTCTCAACGCGGAAGATGCAAGCGCGGGTTCGTCGGCTGCGTTCACCCAGCAAGCTCCGTTTCGCGTCCTGCTTGTGGAAGATGAGCCTTTCACGCGTCTGATTACCAAGTCCTTAGTAAAGAGTATGGGGTTCCAACCGCTTACCGCAGCGCACGGAAAGAAGGCGCTCGAAGTCCTGCGGGCAAGCTTGCGGACGCCGCAGCCTGTCGATCTGGTCCTCCTCGACCTGGAGCTGCCCGTTATGACCGGTCCGGAGGTTCTTGCCGAGATGCAGGCAGACGTGTCGCTGCGAACAGTGCCCGTGGTTGTCTTGAGTGTCGATGACAGAACGGCGGACATTGCCGCCTGCATGGAGCTGGGGGCGAAAGATTATTTTATCAAGCCCATTCGGATGGATATGGCGCCGTCTTTGTTAAAATTTGCACGCGATCGCCGGCGCGAGATGGCTTGTGTGGGGGCTCAGAATCGGCTGTCGGAGGGAAGAGAAGGAGAAGAAGAAGATGAGGAGGAGGAAGAGGAGACCAAGGGTATGGGAGAGGACAAGAAGAGACAGATAGATTACCTTGCGGACAAGAAGCAGAATGCCCGAGATCAAGCATCGCATGGCAGTGACGCGGAAGGAATTGAGTCAAAACGATCAAACCAGTCGCAACAAAAAAAGGAAGATGGCGAAGATTACTGCCATCCCAAGACGGTCCGGTCAGAAACCTCGTTCCAGCGGCCAGTCGCAGCAGGCAAGAAGGACCAGCGTGAGCAGCGCCCCACAGAGCAGGGGCAAGCAGCGTCGCAACAAGAGGAAATATCATCAAAAGAAAGTCAAGCTGGCAAAGGAAGAGGGATTAGACGGCTCAGACAGCAGCCTCAGGAGGACCAAAAGGGCGTGCAACCTGTTCCTGATGAGCGGCAATGCCACACTTCTGCGGATCTGATGTGGGATGGAAGTCCGCCAAATGCCGCCACGGCGGGTGCTGGTCGAGTCATAATAGAAGATAAGTTATTGCCGGGGATGCCGACGCGTGAGCACTTTTCCCTGGTTGGCACCCCCTACTACATGTGTCCCGAAATGCTCGATCGCCAACGGTACGGCCCTGCCCTGGACTATTGGGCGCTGGGCATCTTGCTATTTGAATGCTTTGCTGGAGCTCCACCGTTCACGGGGGAAACCCCCGAGGCGGTGTTCACGGCCATCCGGGCAAGGAATATACCGTGGGGGAAGTTGAGGAAGGCGCTGGAGGGGGTCGCAGAGGAAGCATTGGGGAGAAGGGAGGATGAGGGGAGGATAGATGTGGGGCACCTGGAGGACTTGGTGCGGAGACTGCTGGAACCCGATCAGTTCCAAAGACTGGGCGCCGGGAAATGCGGCATCGAAGGCATTAAAAGCCATCCCTTTTTTGCAGGGCTCGATTGGAAGACACTGTCCACGCAGGAGGTAGATTACCGCCCAGCGCCCAGGATGTATTCAGTCATGCAATGTCAGCAGTCTCTGGCACGACGCGAGAGGCAAAAGGATAAACAACAGCACAAAGGAGTGAGCAGGGAGGGCGGACAGACGGGAAGAATGCAAGTGAGATCGAGTAGAGCACCTGCGGGGATTATGACGAGGCGGCGGCTGGGTTTGTCGGTGGGAATGGATGCGAGTGTGGACGAGGCCTTTGGAGAGGGTGTCGGTAGGGACGAGGATGCTCAGCTAACGATGACTTCGGATTGGCGGGCCTTACTTACGACGACAACCGCCTCCTCGCTCTCCAGGTACGAGGAACTGAGTGAGGTTGGCGAGGAGTGCTTAAAGGAAGGGGAGGACAAATGGGAGGAAGGAAAGGAGGAGAAGGAGAAGGCCAAGGAAGAAGTCAAGGAGGCCTGCTCGCCCACAAGCCCGCAGAAGGCAGCGAATATGGGGGTTGAAGGGTGTGGGGGGGGGGCTACCAAGTCTAGCGGTAAAGGTATGCAGCATTATCGTCGACTTTTCTCCCAGCAAACGTCCAAACTGAACTTCAAGAAAAGTAAAGCCTCCGGTCTTCCGCGGGCGGGGGAGCCGTTCTGTACCTCTACCGGACGTAATACCTCGTCGGGGGGGAAAGAGCGCTCATACATATCTTTCTCGTCTGCCTCTTCGTCCATCTCATCCTTTTCTTCGTCGCGACGGCATGGAAGGCGGCGACACGACCGTTTGAAGGGATTGGGGCACACGCCATTTAATCGTGAGCGATGGGTGGAGTTGATGGGAGAGGCTGGAGATGCACGGAGGCGGAAAAAAGGGGAAAGTTTGAAGGTGACTTCTCAGAAGGAATGCGCGGGAGTGGAGGATTGCAAAGGCTCTGAGAGAATTAAACAAAGAAGCGGGCCGTCAAGGAGTGGGGAGGGCGAAGACAAGGGAGATAGCAGTCTTAGAAAAAATAATCACGCTTGCAGGAAGGGCGTCGATAAAGAAGGTGTTCTGGATTCGAGCTACATATGGGGAAAGATTGAAGAGGAAATGCGCCGTTAGAAGGTAAGTTGTTGTCCAAGGAAAATGTTTGTCGTCTAATGATGTGTAGCAGTGAACCTGTGGGGAGGGTTGTGTATGCGGAAGCAACCTTTTTTGCGACAGGATGGGACTTGCTTTGAGAGGTTATCCTGCTCAATCCTTTCCGCCGCGTGCTTTTTCGAATCGCCATCGACAAAAGCAGTCGAGGACGCTCAGACCGTCTTTCTTTAAAGCACGGTCCAGTGCGGACTCCTGGCTTTGGAGATGGAGAAGAAAAGCTCAACGCGTGGAGGAAGGGTCTTACGTCACAAGTCTGTTCTTACTAATGGTTGCAAGAAAACCGGTCGGAGAGGGTTCTTTGAGTATTCGGCTTGAAGCTTTTGCGTATGTAGGCTCGAATAATACGTACCCTCCACACTCAGAACGCATCTTCGTGGTGTCGGGATGATGATGGTGATGATGATGATGATGACGATGATGATGATGATGATGATGATTCTGAAAATAGAAGGTGAGATTACTATGAGTGGTTCTTGCATTCTGTATGTATCCATACGGGAATGAGTAGGACTCATAATTTGTACAGTTACCTTCTCAGCAGGTACAGAAAGGAGTCATACAGGTAATGGTCTTGATACCTCAAGACAACCTGTAGCAACAAGGATTTGCGCGGAAAATTCGGGTAATACTAATGTGCATAACGATATTTAAAATGCCATTTTCCTTTTATTCGTCGGGCAAAGGATGACAAACATACTTTATCTACATTCTCTGACGCTTCCTTCTTGAGAGGGAAAGCAGATGGAGAGGAAAAGTCCCAACATTATGATGCCCGCTGCTGCTACGCCCTATTTTATCGTTCATCTTCTCAACAGATGATAAACTACATGTATATGTGTACACTCCAAGATACAATATGATCATTGGCTTGTATTTGTCGTGCACGGCCTTGTCTCTCGCTCTCTTTCGTGATTTCGTCGTGCATTCTTATACAGTGCTTTTTTCTTGTGTACAAAACATCCCACATTTCAACATAGGAGGGGGAACAGGCTTTTGTAAAACGGATACTAGATTGTCACAGGTAAGTTGTCATTAACTCTTGTGTGGATCCATCCGTAAGAATTGTGGGATGTCTTAAATTTTAGAAGTTGGTGGTAACTGCAATGATGCGATACATTTTCTCTCCAGAAGTTGCTTCCAAGACTCTGTTGGATAAATCAAATAAACTGCTGATGCAGTCACCACATCACGTGTACATCCCTTTCCTTGAAAGCATTTCCTTGAAAGGTTGAGAAGTGAGAGTACGAATTGAGATTCTGCGTGCGTTGTCCACAAACATAGATAGGTACTTTTCTGGTGTCGACGACGGGATTGCGAAGTAAAAAACACGAAAAGGTGCGTCCGGTGGTTGGGGTCTTCATGCTTGGCCGCAATGTGGTACAACACATGTCAAATCGTCAGCCGAATGATGAGTGGGAATGACGAGACGAGTTAGGATTCCCCTTCAGCAAAACGCCCTCCCAATATCGAAAGAGGATCGGCATGGTTGAAATGTATCCAATGACTGACCCTCCACTCCATCAAAATCTGCTGTGATAGGCTTTGTGAGGAAAAGATCTGCAACTTTGTATTCCTTTCGCTTACAGCAGACGATGTCCTCACATGTTCTCAGATAACAGATTCAGTGGCAAATGCTTTGCAATGAAAAGGTGAGCAAGATCTTTGTTGAGGGTGACCGTGGATAGTCGCGTATTTTATCACGCGCATTAAGGCGCAAGGAGAGAGAAGAATTGATTGATGATGGTTTACGACGCCTTGGTCGACACACCCGATTCGCCGCTCGCGTTACTCGCGTTGTGGTGGACTGTGAAGGCTTTATTCTAGTCATAGTTACTCTGACAATTCTATCTCTTTCCATCTGTCTTGGATCTATAGAACGTTTCTCTGTCTGGCCACCTTCGTAGTTCTCTTTTTTTGGCGAACTTTTGTGTGCAGCCTCCTATGCGCACGCGAGGGAGAGAAGTAAATGTTTTTGCCACGGAGTGTCTCACCCTTCCGATACCTGCCTACGTGCGCTATTGATGTCTGCTTATTTTGCGCCTTATTAAAACAACAGGATGTGGAGACACTGAAAGTGTACAAAGGAAGGACAGCGAGTTGTTGAAGCAATATGTGATTCATTGTACATGCCAAGGATGTTTGAGAGACTCACGTGTTGTAAGAGAAGAAACATGAGTCAGACTAGAAGCTAAATCTCAAAAGTCATGAGAATAAAGTGCGCTTCAATTTTATAAGATTGGTCTTTTACTGCAATCTATGCGTCAAAATTGTTATGCATCTGAGATCGGTACGGGGCCTTGCAGCCCTTCACATCTTCCCTGTGCATCTATATATTTTCTTAAGAGAAGACGTACAAAAATACATCTACATACATACACACAATGGTTGTGTGTTTGCGGAGTGGGATTATAAGAGTTGGTTATGGGCGTAATTGCGCGCGGAAACTTTCTCCGCGACTTCCTCCCGCGCCCCGGGGGTAGACGACCAAGGCCCCTCGGCTGTTGTCAGGCCTCAAAGCCATCGCATATTTTACTGCCCCCAACAGAATAAGAAATGTCCCAATCACGCCAATTGATATTAGCGCAGTACGTGTGGTTGGGTTTACACCTTCGTAATTTGTTGAAGCTTCGTTCTCTCCTTCTAGGCTTGTCGGAACGACCGGTACGGCTTGAGAGACAGCCGCACTACTTCCCTCTGCAGTAGTTGCGCTGGAAGTACCTTCAACGGACTCCTCATGAGTAGTAAGCACAGTGGGAGGACGAGTCCAGGACAGCTGGAGGACGGAATGCAGGGATGCGCTACAGATCAAAAGGGCGGCCTCCGGACCGAAGATGTCTGAAAAATGCACCGTCGAAAAAGCCTGGATTATCTTTATTCCCTCTGCACTAGAAATGGTGAGGCGCGGGCCTCTCACAACAAAGTAAATAGGCAAGCGGACTTGCTGCGCCGCTTCTAAGCTACAGGCTGTGCTGCGCAACCGCCCGGCTTCGAAGAGTGGCTCCAGTGTAGCGTCTCGAAAACTCGCAATACTCTTTTCAGTTGTATCCTGTCGTTCATGTCCCATTCCTTCACCAACTTTGGCTAAGTCGCTTCCGTCTTGCAAGCGTCGCTCCCGTACCGAGTGGTCTGATTGGATCCTTTGTGATGGCCCCAAGACCACGTCGACAGTGTAGATCTGTTCAGGGCTAGCAGCTCCTTGGAAAACTTGGGCGACGTGCGACGGATCGACATCGGTTAGACTTGGATCGCCGGAAACCCACACCTCGAGCTGTAAGCCGGGCACCGGTGTCGGAGCCGCCGTAGGGGAGGGAGTTGGGGCGGGAGTGGGGGCCTTAGTGGGGGCCTTGGTGGGAGCCTGAGTCGGTGCCATGGTGGGCGCCAAAGTGGGCGAGCGTGTCGGAGGAAGGGTGGGGGCCAGGGTAGGGCTCAAGGTGGGGCGGGCCGTGGGGTGTGCAGTGGGGGAACGCGTGGGGCTGAGAGTGGGTGACATAGTCGGAGCCGGAGTGGGTGACATGGTCGGAGCGGGCGTGGGCGCAGGGGTCAAGACTCGCGGGTAAATGGTGAAAGGCTGGCTCGGCCCTGCCCAAAAAGTATCCATCGCACCGGTATCTTGATTAGCCAGGTACGACGAGCGCACCGCGTACTCTCCCTCCGGTCCATTCACCACGTACCGGACCACCATGATGCCTGGCAAGGTTGGGAGTGTGTCCCGCCAATCCCCGAGCTGACCCCACCAGCTGGAGTAAGCGTTTAGTGCTCCATGGAAAGGAAAGTACCCGATGATTTGGAAAGGGCCGTTCTGGAAGTGCATTCCATCTCGAGTGTGCCAGTGACCGTGGATGGCTACCTCTTCCACGACGCCCCCGCCTGCTGCTGTATGCCTGTATGACCCGTCCCATACGCCCTGTGCTCCCGCAAAAGGTGCAAAAGCACACAGTCCTCCCGCCTGGTTGGCCAATTCCCATTCGGTCCGATTGCTACTGTACTGGCTAGTGCAGTCTTCACCCACTCCCAGCCATGTGATGAAGGGTGGACTACCTGTCTGGTCGGTGCTCATTTCCCAATGGTTGACCTGAGCTGGCGCCAGGCTCTGCAAATCATTGAGATAATCAGCGTGAGGAATGAGCGACAAATCTGGCAGAGGTGGGCTTTCGGCAACCCTGCCGCTGACCACCACCGTCACTAAATTCTGTCCATAGCGCAAGTAATCCGGCCCGAAGGAACCCGCGGACCGCGAAGTTGCGTTTGGATGGCTCTGCAAGAAGAATATACCAGCTTGTGTGCATGAAACGAGGATGGACGCTCGCTGCCCAGCAAGTAAAGGCACGAGCTGAACAAGTCGGGGCGCCGCCAGGTAGACACCGTCTAGAGCTATCAGGTGCATCTTACACTTGCTAGGAACTTCTCCTGTACCGATTGCCGTTCGCAGCTCGATTTCCAACTGGTAATGAGACCCAGCTGCATGCAATAAATCAAATCGTCGCATTTCTCCGGTTGTCAACACTGCCCATGGCTGGAAAGCTTGGTTTACAAGGTAATGGTCGGTGATTGCCGGGTCTTTGAACACAGGGTTGACGTCCAGCCCGTCCCCACAAAGCTGAGAGACCTGCATATAGTCCAAAGGGGGGCGGGGACTTCTGTCTGAGTATTCGTCCGTCCATATAGCCAGGTGACTCAGCATCAACAAGTCTGTGCTTAGAGCGTTTAGTGGCGGAGGAAGCTGTGTGAAGGGGTCTGGCATATCGACGTACAAGGCTCCGAAGAGGCCCCCCATAACATGAAGCATGGCCGCACCGTGCGTAGGATCGTGATACCAGTACAGGCCAGTAGGATGATCACTGGGGATTTTCAATGTGTAGGTATATGACCCTCCGGGTGGGACGCGAATGAACGCATTGTTTTCTTTAGGATCCAAGCGTGCTCCGTAAACAAAAAACCCTGTTGTGTTAGGACTGTGAAATGTGTTGTTGTTGGCCCCCACCGATATATCTGAGCCAGCGCTTTCCAATTCATTGGACAAGCGAACAGTGAGGACGTCACCAGGCTTCACGCGAAGAGTTGGGCCTGGCAAGGATCCCTGACCGTTAAAGTAGTAAGCCCTTGTAGTGTAGCTGATAAAGGCGTTTTGACGAAACGCATTCACGCCCATAGTCACATCCAACTCTCCATTTTTTGATGTTAATTCTACGGCTGGTGGAGCTAAAGGGCCACCATTGTGAAAAGTTAAGGACCCTGGAGGATGAAAATCCGCCGAAGGGGGAGGAGGGGTAGCACTAGGGGCTGTAGGGATCTCTTGGGCACGCAGGATTGTAGGCAACAGCAACAAGAAGAAGTTGGGGCGGACCTTCATACTATAGATATAGTGATCCACCGATTACGGATGTACCCCCCAATATCAGAGATTCACTTTTGATAAGATTACTGCAGCAGCTGATATTAAGGACGAGGGAGAGTCCAGACGTTAGGACTGGGGCAACAAGCCTGTGTATCGTTTCGAGAGATGCGAAATGATTTAGGCGAAATTGAAAGATGAGGATGCTTGGAAAAGAACTAAAATGAAATAGTTGGAACAAAAGGTCAGGCATGGGTGTGGCGGAGAGGAGGTCTTTTTTGGGCGGTAAGACGCAAAACGGATAGAATGGCGTTAAGCGTAACGGACGGTAACGGAAAAGGGAGTCCCAGTGATCCTATTACATTTTTATCGCTCCTTCTTTGAGTCTGGTCCAATTGTTACAGTAGTATGCGACATATAGCACCCGTCCCCTATTATGATGAAAAGTCTGCTTACAAATGCTGTTGCCTTCCCTTTGCTCCATTATATGCAGAAATACTATCCCATCTCGCATGTCCCAAATCCGAGAATCGCAACGTCCCAGCCAGAGCCTCGAAATCCCGATCTAATTTGGTACAAATTACCCTTTTGCTTTTTCTTGTGCCTCTTTCATTTTATCATCTATTACCATTTCAACTCCGTATTTTTTGTTAACGGCCAATACATGCTCTCGAAGGGCAACCTCCTGGGGTGACTTCCAGCGGGCTGTGTCCACCCCATCCCCAAAGCGCAGCTTGCCTCCATATTCCACAGGAATATTTTCCTCGGGAATAAATTCTTTGAGGCATTCCAGGGTTTCTGTGAAGGAAAATAAGCGGGAAAGGGACAAAAGAAAAAATGTGAAAGAGAATTTACCCTCATAAATTCTCCCAGTCAGTCACAATTACCTTTTTTACTGACAATTTTGACTTTCTTTTGCGTCCGCTCGTTCACCATCGGCCGGATTATTTTCCACAAGACAGCGAACCACGAGGGCGCATTGGTAATCATGATCACAGCCTGTAAACAAAGGGGCGGGGTATTGCGTTAAACATCGCTGGTGAGTGCAACTTCTCCGTGCTACACGTCCTACGCGTAAGTCCTGCCTTTCTCAATCCAGCGTCAACATAAAAAAAATCGCATCCGCATTTGCATCTCACACCATTTCGACGAATACCTCTTCTCTCCCTTTGATTGTCATAAAGTTCATTCGCCACGCCTCCCCAATCTTACCGATCGCTCTGGGTAATGTTCCGAAATCAAATGTATCGAGCGCCGCAAAAAATCGAAAGCCTCGCCGGCCAAATCGCGGATCCCAACACCTTCGACGGAGAAAACAGTGATGGTCTTTTTCGTCTGTTGATGAAGATACAATAATGAACAGAAATTGAATGCGCGCCAAAACGGTGTTTTGGCTGGCTAGTCCATAAATTACGGCACCACATAACTTGGCAAAACCTTTAGATCTCGCCCTCCCCACGTGAACTCCCACTGGAGGCGAAAGTCAGTCTCTGTCTCACCTCATCGGGGTAGAGCTTTACCCAACAGAACTCTGTGACCATGACGTAGTGCCGCAACAGCTCGTCGATGCCACAGCCCGCCACCCGCATGCGCGGTTGGTCCACTTGCCCCGATCTGTGCAGAAGGGAGCGAGATTGAGAAGACATAACGGACGACAAGGCGCGGATAAAGTGCCTAGGAGACAAAGGTGCCCTCCACGTTCTGACGGTGGCCATCCCTCGGGAGACCGGCACATACCTCTCCCAATAGACAGGGTCTCCATTTATCCCCTCGCCGCAGTACCAAGAGGGGTAACACTGCTTGATCAGGTCGAAGTAGGGTTGAGGCTCATCCAGGATGCCATCGGTGCCGTATTCTCGTCTAAAGAGAGACGAGGAGGGTAGAGAAGGGATGACACGATTTAAAGACAGGATCCGAG